CGCAAGGGCGCGCGAATGATTTCGACATGTGGCGCAAGGGCGTGCTCGTTTGGCAGAATTTAGTGAACATGCTGAAAAGCCATTTATTTGAAAACGGGCATTGCGAAACCAGGTGTTTTTTTTGTAACGTTTCGGGACACTCAGTTTTGACAGCCTTACGACACCGAAGGTTTTTGACGGACTTCAGCATGCGCGCGCGGCCGAAGCGCGCGTGTGCATTTCGTCATGTTTTTTTGCTAACGGTCCTCACGGCAGCACGCGCGCAAGGGCGTGCCAACGATTTCGGCATGCGCGCGCGAAACCCAGTTCGTAGCATGTTATGAAAATGTTGAACAACCCTTGGTTTTCTTAAGAACTCGCGCGTGCGGAAGTTTTTTGTTTTGTTTTGAAAGTCAGCGTTGCGAAACCTCACGTTATACATACATTTTGACATTCGATTTTGAAATTCCTATGGCACCTGAAGTTTTGGAAGGGTTTCAGCATGCGCGCGCGACCACGCGCGCGCGTGCACTTCGCCCCGTTGTTTTTTTGCGTGTTTTACCTTCCTTTTTCTGTTGCAAGGGACTTTTGAAACGGATGGTTTTTGATAAAACGACGATTGTTTTCTCCAAAAGATGATAAGGGGGTGTCGATACTGGTTGGCCTGGGATGGTGCGAATTCGCATTTAGAATGGACCCTTGGGCAGAATCATACGTGTATTGCAATACGAAAAGAGGTACCCATAAGCTTTGGGGGGGGGGTAGGATCTAATGTATTGGGAGAAGAGAAGCTATGTGGTGCAGTTAGTTTCTGCTCGCAGTGAGTTGTCATCCCCACTGCTCGCGCAATCATCCCACCCACTCATGCACAACTTGGTTTGCAAAACGCACGCGGCGGCGATTGCGATGAGTGCTTGACGATGGCTGGTGCATTTCTGCGGCCGCGCCAGCCCAAGCACGCGCGGGCAGCGGGCAGTTAGTGTGGCGCGACGGACGCGGCCGCGGTGGCGCCGACCGCTGGGCACATCCCAGAGGGCACTTCAGTACGAGTCGGCGACTTGGGCGGGCGCGGTAGCATGGCAACGTCGGCAACGCTAGACACGATGATGACGGTAGCGATGCTGGCGACGATGTTGACGACGTCGAGGGCGCGGCCAGTGCGGGCGCCGTTGCTGATCACGCCGGCGACGATGACGGCGTCCTCGAGTCGGTGATGAAGGTTTTGGGAAGAGTTCGACATACGCGTGCGGCCGAAGCGCGAGAGTGGCCCGCTTGGTATCATTTCACACGGATCGTGTCCCCCACAGCACGCGCGCAAGGGCGCGCGAATGATTTGGCAGAGTCCCATGATAGCGTTGAGTAACCAATGGTTCCCTGAAGAATGTACAAGAGCGCGAGCGCAGGCTTTGTCGAAAACTTATGTTGCGAAACCATATTATGTTTTAATACGTGTTTTGGGGGCACGGCTTTGAAATCCTTGCGACGCCGAAGGTTTTGACGGAATTCAGCATGCGCGCGCGACGACGCGTGCGCGTGTGCACTTCGTCTCATTTGTTGCAAAATATTCGCGGCAGAACGCGCGCAAGGGCGTTCCAATGATTTCGACACGCGCGCGCGAGCATCGGTTGGTAGCATTCTATGAACATGTTGAAACAAACTCTTGGATTTTCTGCAGAGTTCGCGAAAGCGCGCAAGTTTTTGTTTGAAAATCCGTGTTGCGAAACCATGCGTTTTTTTGCATGATTTTTGGACAGTCGATTTGACATATTTACGAATCCGAAGGTTTTCGAAACAGTTCGGCATGCGCGAGACGACGCGCGCGTGAGCATTTCGCCCCGTGTTGTGCCAGGGGTGTTCGAACAATTAACGATGTTTGATAAAACGAGTGCGCGCGCATAGGCTTTTGCAGAGGATGGCCGGGGGGGGCGGATACCCGCTCGGCTGGGATGGTACGACTTCACATTCAGGATGGACGATGGGGCAGAATCATAAGTAAATTGCAATATGAAAAGGGGAGCCGATCATCACGGGGGGGCAGACCTTTCTTTCTTATCAGAAAGACAGTCACTCCAGTGCTCGCGCAGCGGCCAGCTAGTGTGACGCGACGGACGCGGCCGCGGTGGCGCTGACCGCTGGGCACATCCCAGCGGGCACCTCACTGCGAGTCGGCGACTTGGGCGGGCGGTACCATGGCAACGTCAACAAAGGTAGACACGATGATGATAGTAACGGTGTTGGCGACGATGATGACAGCGGCGACGGCACGGCCAGTGCGAGCGCCGATGCTGATCACGCCGGCGACGATGACGGCGTCGTCGCGTCGGCGATGAAGGTTTTGGAAAGGGGTTCGACGAGCACGCGCGGCCGACGCGCGAAAGTGGCCCGCATGGTATTATTTGACGCGGACCGTTCGCCCCCCAGCACGCGCGCGCGCAAGAGCGTTCGAATGATCGCTGCGCGAGTGGCTCGTTTTGCAAAATTCGAGGAACATGTTAAACAACGTATGGTTTCTCTGAGAATTCGCAAGAGCGCGAGCGCGTTTTTGTTTTTCCTATTCGTATTTTTTTGTTGTTGTTTTTTTCATATTTTATTATTATCATTAATATTAATATTATCATTATCATTATCATTATTATTTTTATCACTATTATTATTTTTATTGTTATTATTATAATCATTATTATTATTATTATATATTAAATTATATATACGTATGTATATATATAAAAATGATGTTGCGAAACCATGTGTTGTGTATATGTTTCTTGGACATTCGATTTGAAATGTCTGCGAATCCGCAGCTTTTTTGTTGAAATATTGTGGCATGCGCGCGCGACGACGCGCGCGCGTGCACTTCGTGCCATTTGTTGCAAAAGGTTTTCACGACATGAACATACAGAAAACATATTGCTCTTCAGAATTCGCAAGAGCGCGCGCGGAAATTACATATACAATATAAACAAATACCGCCCCCCCCCCACCCCGGGTGCCACACCTCCCCCCCCGCATCTCGGGGACGTTCCCGGCACCACTCCCCCGGGCGTTCCTGGGAGCCTCCACGGCGCTCCAGGAGGGCCCAAGACGACTCCCAGGAGCGCCCAGAATGCGGAAGGATGGCCCGAGACGCTCCCAAGCAGCCCAAGTCAGCGTTCCGACGGCTCTCGACGCTCCCAGGTAACCGCCAAGAGACCCCGAGAGAGGTCCGAGAGGCGTCCCGGGACGGCCCGAAGAGGCCAAAATCGTAGATGTTTTTTTTTCTCCATGTTTTTGGCTTCTCGCGTTTTCGAGCTTCCAACGGTCCAAGAGCGCCGCAGAGGCTCCCCAAACCGCCCCAGGACCACCCAAGAGATTCCGAGGCGGCCCCCAGACGGGCCAAGAAGGCTCCAAGACTGCCGCAGAGGCACCCAGGACAGCCCCAGACCACCCCAGAACAAACCCAATATGGGCCCAAGAGCGGGAGCAGGAGGCTTCCAGAGACCTCCGAGAGGCCTCCGGGATCCCCCAGAGGCCCCCCACTACACCCCCGATCCTTGAGAGGCCCCAAAGGATCCAACAACAGCCCAAGAGAGCTGCGAGAGCCGTCCCGAGAGAGCCCAAAGAGGGTAAAATCGTTGATTTCCAATAGTTCTTCTAATATTTTTCGCCTTCTCACATTGTCCCGTTTCAACCTCGAAGATCGAGGATTTTGAGAAACAAAATCAAAGACAGAGAGAGAGAGTAAATTCCCAGAATTCCTTTTTTTTTCAAAGTGGGACTCCTACTCGGGGGTGCTACACATCCCCTGACAGGGGGGAGACCCCAAGACGCCGAACGACAGCCCAAGACGACCCCAAGGAGCCCCCAAAATAAAGAACGGCCAAACACGCTCCCGCGCAGCCCGAGACACCCTTCCGACGGCTCTCCAGGCCTCCAGGAGGCCTCCAGAACCCCCAGGGGGTCCGGAAGATCCCACACCCCTGAGGGGCCCGGCTAACAAAACCCGCGAGGCACAAACAAAAAACAGCGCCGAACAGCGCCGAGGAACTAGAAAAACATGGAAATCCCACAATGTTTTTTTTTCTCAAAAGTTTGGCCCCCGGTCTACTCTTGCACAACAGACTACAATTCAGTCACCTCCCCCCCAAAAAACCCAGGAAGCCTTTGAGGGCCCCAAATCCTTGAATACCTAAAGGCAATTAATGATTTCTGCGTTTCCGCACTTCTCCTTCTATACGATTCCGAGGCTTGCGCAGGGCCTCCAAGGGCGTCCCTGGACGCAAGAAGCGACCACAATGATCAAGCCGATCAAGCCTATCAAGCCTAGGCGACGAGGCGGCGACGGGGCGGCGACGGGGCGGCGACGAGGCGGCGACGGGGCGGCGACGGCGAGCATTGAACCGCCAGACTTCCAGACAGGTCCAGATGACGGGCGGCGACGAGGCGGCGACGGGGCGGCGACGGCGAGCACGGAACCGCCAGACCGCCAGACCGCCAGCCAGGCCCAGTTCCGTAGAAAAGAATTCAGAACCGCTAAGTGCAGGCACTGTTTGGGTAAGTATATATATATATATATATACACACATGTTGCACTCCCTGTAGGCTTCTAAGAAGGCTTCTTACAAGCCTCGTGGCCCTTCTAAGAAGGCCCTTGCCTTCTTGGATGCCCCTCCACCTGCTTAGCAGGCTGCTCCCCTGGTACCAATCCTTTTTGTGCGCGCCGCCACAGTTGCAGTGCACTCAGAGCGTTTAGACAAGGGCCTGTTTGGATTCAGAAGCGGCTGCGATTTCCAGGCAAGTCTTTAGACCTAGGTCGGGGATCGTGTTCGTGGCCGAGGCTCGCTGTGGCCAGAGCAGCCCTTTCGTGCCTTGTTCAGCGTTTCTTCGGGTGCATCTTGTTCAGGCGGGCGGCCGTACAGGACGAATGTTGCCCCCGATTGGCGGCGCTTTCTTTCCGCCCATTCAAGCTTTCGCTGGGAGACCTCGAGGTGCAAGTGGTCTGTCCAAGTCGATTGTCCACCTTGCATGTTGCCCGAGTTTCCGAGGTCATGTTGGTCCTTGTGTATGCCATCGCGTCTAACGTTTACGAGTGGCTCCCCTGGGGCATAACCCACCTCGAGGACAAGTTCGACGACCTCTTGGACTGGCTCGTCGCCAACGCAAATTGTAAGGCTCTGGACAATTCGGGTGGCGACGGCGGAGCAAGAGTGTCCGCGGTTCGGTCGGTTCGACCGCGTCGCAGTCGATTGTGCTCGGTCGGTTCGGTTGGACGGGTTGTCGTGTCGGGGGGCTTAGCAAGCAAGAAATGTCGAATCTCTCCTGCTTCAGCAAGTACCTAGGCCCACGCTGACGGCTTGTTTCATAGCGCAAGCCTAAAATCAGGTGTGTCTGCTGTCTCTGCAGTCGTGGCTGATTAGCAGATCGATCCTGCCAAATCAAGGGTACCCTCGTGTCCTGTGTCCCGCGACCTATGCCTCTACGTTCCTGTGGCAGTGTGGCCCTCGGAAGGGCCTTGTGTCCTCTCGCGTGTCCAATCCAATTGCACTTTCTCCTCCACTGAGATCCGACGTTGCGAGAAAACTGCAAAATCGTAAATAATCACGACCGGAGCCCCGGACCCCATTTTTCGGTGCCATCTTTCGAGCCAGATCGATTTGTGAGGGCTCAGGGCCCGAACAAAGGCGAAGACGCCAGGCTCGAAAAAATTGAAACGCCAGGATCTCAGGGTCCGCCTCTCCTCATTCTCTGCCTCCTTTCGCCTTGCCGCCGTGTCGTGCCGAGTCGATGTCGTGTCGCTGCTGCGTCTCTTCGGGTCCGCCGCTTTCGCCTTCGTCGCCGCCCGCCGTTGTCGTCGTCGTCGTCGTCGTCGTCGTCGTCGTCGTCGTCGGCTTCGTCGTCGTCGTCGTCGTCGTCGTCGTCGTCGGCTTCGTCGTCGTCGTCGTCGGTGCCGCCGTCTTCGCCGCCCGCCGTCGTCGTCGTCGTCGTCGTCGTCGTCGCCGTCGTCGCCGTCGCCGTCGTCGTCGTCGTCGTCGTCGTCGTCGTCGTCGTGTCGTGTCGTGTCGTGTCGTGTCGTGTCGTGTCGTGTCGTGTCGTGTCGTGTCGTGTCGTGTCGTGTCGTGTCGTGTCGTGTCGTGTCGATGCTGCGTCCTTCCGGGTCCGCCGCCTTCCGGCCTCGTTGCCGGCCGGGTCGGTATTTTTGGCCCTCGCCGCCGCCGCAGACGGCTTCGGGGAGGAAGCTTTAGCATCGCTCGGACGTGTGCCTTTTTTCCTCGGCGAGGGCCATCGAGGAGCATCGTGGACCATTCTCGGAAGATGAACGAAGAGCAGCCTGGACCGTCAGGCAAACACGGCAGGCGCGAGAACGAAGAACGGCGCGGGACATAGACGTCCGAGCGACGGCAAGAGGAGGGGAGGAGGAGAGAGAGAGGGAGGAGGAGAGAGGAGGGGGAGAGGATAGAGGAGGGAGAGAGAGGAGGAGGAGGAGGAGAGAGGGAGGATGAGAGAGGGAGGAGGAGGAGGAGCGAAGAGAGGAGAGGAGGGAGTGGGTGAGGAGAGGATGAAGGAGGAGGGGGGAGGTGATCCCGGAGGATGATGAGGGAGGGGAGGAGAGGAGGAGTGGAAGGAGGGAGGAGGGGGAGGGAGGAGTAGGAGGGCGGAGGGGGAGTGAGAGGAGGAGGAGGAGGAGAAGGAGGGCGAGTGGGGCCGAGAGGTGCCCGCACGCCCCGAGATCCCTGCGCTGCGCTTTTCTCCCGCCAGGGGCCGCTCTTGGGCTCGGGACTCGGGCCTCGGGCCCTCGCAGGCCGCTCCGGCTCGAGGCGCAGCGCAGGGAGTTTGGGTGCAGGGCTCTGCCTCCTCCTCCTCCTCCTCCTCCACTCCTCCCTCCTCCTTCCTACTCCTGCTCCCCCCACTCCTCCTCCTGCTCTCGCTCCCCTTTCCTCCTCCTCCTCCTCTCTTCCTCCTCACCTTCCTCTCCTCTCTCTCGCTCCTCCTCTCCCTCCTCCTCCCCCTCCTCTCCTCCTCCTCCCTCATCCTCCTTCCTCCTCCTCCTCTCCCCTCCTCCCTCCCTTCCCTCCCCTCCTCCTCCTCCTCCTCCTCTCCTCCACCTCCTCCTCCTCCTCCTCCTCCTCCATCCTCCTCTCCTCCTCCTCCTCCTCCTCCTCCTCCTCCTCCTCCTCCTCCTCCTCCTCCTCCTACTCCTTCTCGTCCGGATCTTCTGCGACGTTGCATTGTTGGTGGCGGCGTGCAGGGCTGCCCCTGGGCCTGGCTGGTTGCCGGGTGAGCTGGCTTCCAGAGGCCGATTTTGGCACACCCCTCACACGGATCGCGCCTAGAGAGCTGGAATGAGTTCTTTTTGACCGGAAATCAATGTTTGTTAATCGGCGATCTTTTTGCTGGAAGAACTGGCCCGTAATATAAATCAACTGACCAGAAATGAGCATTTCTTTTGACCCGCGGTCCCAACGCCCGAGGTCCTTGCGGCCTGCACAGGCACAGGCGTTCAACAGAGGTCACCCTCTCCTGTCGCGGGGCCGTCCCGCGCAGGAGAGAGCGATCCATCTGCGGCCCCCCTCCGCGGCCGCACCTCAATGGCCCTGCGTTCCGCGTGGAGGGTCGTCCTTCCGCGGATCGGGGGCGGCCAAGAGGGTGGTGATGATCCGGGGGGGAGGGGCGGATATCATGGCGGGGGCCATGCTATCTCCCCAGATGTCGTAGCGCCTCTTCTCGTGTCCATGTGTTCCCGGCCTGGGCCGCGCACGTGCCGCCGAGCATGATTTGCGCACCCCCCTCTTGAGGCGCAAAGCCTCCGTGGCCGTGGCCGTGGTGGCCGTGGCCGTGGTGTCCGTGGCCGTGGTGGCCGCTGGCCGTGGTGGCCGTGGCCGTGGTGGCCGTGGCCGTGGTGGCCGTGGCCGTGGTGGCCGTGGCCGTGGTGGCCGTGGCCGTGGTGGCCCTGGCCGTAGCCGTGGCTGTGGTGGCCGTGGCCGTGGTGGCCGTGGCCGTGGTGCCGTGGCCGAGGCCGTGGCCGTGGTGGCCGAGGCCCCCCCCCCCCCCCGAGGGGCAGGGGGGGGGACCAGCGGCTCGCTTGCTCTTGCCTGCTGCGGAGCTGTCCTGCGCGGGAGGGGGCGTGCCGCCTGCTGCCCCACGTCTGCGAGGCCCGCCCCGCCGTCCAGCTCCACCGCGCGGAGGGCCGCCCTCCCGCGATGGCGGCGACCAGCGCGCCTCCTCGGGCTGCGCCAGAGCTGGCAGCACCCGAGGGTCTTCCCAAGCGGTCCCCCGCTCCAGTACTAACCTTAAGTCGTGCCTGTCCCCCTACAGGGGGATTTTCGACAAAAAATAAAGAATATTTCAAATATAATCAAAAAACAATCAAAAAATAGTCTGGGAACTATTTGTTGAGTATCTTTTGACCTTTTCGGAGTATTTGGGGGGTTTCTTGCATTTTTCGTAGGAAATCCCCCCCTCTGGAGGGGGACACGCCCGACTCAGAACTGACCGGGCCCTGCGCCGCTTCACTTCGGAGGTCAGAGGAGATCCGGTGCATCTGCCCCTCGCATGCCGCCTGGCCCCTCCCCCCCCCCGGCCCGGGCGCGGCCTGCAGGCGCGGCGCGGCCTGCAGGCGCGGCCGCCTCGCCGTTCTCCACCTCCGGGCCGCCTCCGCGCCCACCTCCCCGCTCGCCGCCGCGGCCCCCCTCCCCCGCCTGGGGGGCCGGCCCCGGCCGCTCCCTCGGGGCCCGGCCTCTCGGCCGCCGCCCGGCCCGTCGGCGCGGCGCCCCCGCTCCCGCGGGCGGTCGCGCTGCCTCTTGCCGGCGAGGTTTCGTGGTTCCCAGACCTCCTCGAGTAATGAAAAAATGATGACGGGAGGTTTTTCCTAATTTTCGGCCTCTGGGGGCCCTCACCGGGACGACTCAGAATGCAAAGCCGGTCATGGGGAAAGGGTCGGGACCTCTTGAGGTCGACGTAATGAAAAAATCATTACGTCGGGGGTCTGGGGTGGGGGCATCAGAGGCGACCGGTGCATCAGCATCATCGTCTGCTGCAGCAGAGATCTCGAGAGGGGGCGCGGGCCCCCGGGCCATGCGAGGAGCGTGCTGGGGCGAATGAAGCACAGGGGCCTCGGGGCTCCTGGCAAACAAAAGGCCTGGCTCCTGGCTCGGTGGCCCGCCCTGCTCGCTCGCTCCCCCCGCCTTGCAGTCCCTGTTGGCCCATCGCACCGCCCACCTCACCGCGGTCTCATCAGCTCCCCGCCCCCCCCCCCGCCGTCCATGCCCGGATGGTCGTGACTGCTGGCGGCCGCGAGGCCCCAAGGGGTCTCCGAGGGCTCGGCAGGAGCTGGGCGCGCGCGCGCGCCTCGCTGCTTTCCCACCCTCTACGCCCCGTCGCCGCGCGCGGAGGACTGCGACGCTAAGGAGTGCGTCCGGCGCGTGGCCCCCCTGGAGTTCGCGCCGCCGCTGCCCAGGACTGTGGCCAGTGATGGCGAGGCCGTGTGCCCACGCGGCCCTGACCGGAGCAGTCAGAGATCGACTCCCTCCTTTCTCCTCTCCTCCGTGCGCGCTCCCCCCCCCCCTTTCTCCTCCCTCCTCCTCCTCCTCCTCCTCCTCCTCCTCCTCCTCCTCCTCCCCTCCCTCGTCCTCTTCCTCTTCCTCTTCCTCTTTTTCTCCCTCCTCTCTCCTCCCTCCTCCTCCTCTCCCCCCTCCCCCGCACCCATCTGCCCCCCCCATGCCGCATCCGCCCTGCAGCGCGCAGGCAGTGCATTTCACCAAGACCGGCTGGAAAGACCTCTTAGTGCTAGCTCTGGTCGGCGGCAGGGTGCTGCTGGGCCCAATGCCATTTATGATAGAACGCTTGGGGTGATCGTGAGGGAGAACCGTTGTAAATAGAGACCCCCAGGGAAATTCGAACGGGGAGATGAGAGACGGAACGGTTCGGAGACAGGGTGGGTATGTTTTATATATATATATACATATATATATATATATATATATAGAGAGAGAGAGAGAGAGAGAGAGAAAGAAAGAGAGAAAGAGAGAGAGAGAGAGAACAACAAACAGTAGAGACAGAGAAAGAGAGAGAGAGAGAGAGAGGTGATAGAGAGAGAGAGAGAGAAATTAGAGAGAGAGAGAGAGAGAAAACAAACAATGAATCAAGGAAGCGATCGATGATGGTGAATCACAAATCCTCATGTGTTTTCGACATGGTGACATCACGAGATGTATGGTTTCACTGTGAGATCTCACCCCCGACTCTGCATCTGCCCAAGCTTGAACTATAGCGCGTGCAGTCCAGAGAGGGGGGAGGGGAGTCGCATGGCGATCGACCTCACCCTATGCACACGCGTGTGGCGCAGGGCGTGGCCTTCTCCTCCAGAAATTGCGCGCCGCAGGACAGTGTGGATAGCTGTCTGTGGACACAAGGGCATACTCAACGCCTCCTCCTCCTCCTCCGCCTCCTCCTCTTCCGCCTCCGCCCCCTCCTCCGCCTCCTCCTCCGCCTCCTCCTCCGCCTCCTCCTCCTTTCAGGACCCTTTTCAGGAAGGGCTCCACGGCGCGCGACGGCGCCGAAGCCCGTCAGTCGAGCGTCTCCCTGTGGGCACTGAGCGTCTCTCTCTCCGTGTCCTCTTTGCGAAAAGGGCGCCCCTCCCTTCGGCTCGCCAGCCGAGGGGCGCTCGGCCCTCTCTGGTCTTCGTCTCTGCGTGCTGTCGAGGGCTTCTGCCGACCAGGCTGGTCGGCAGCTCGGCCTCGCCTGTCACGCGAGGCGGCGGCGCCTATTGGGACGCCTGCCGTGGAGCGCGGCGCTCTCCGTCTTGCTCTCTGCTGCTGGCGGGCTTGGCTTCGGTGCTGGAGGAAGCGCTGCCTGGCAGCCCGCCCCTCGATGGTGAACACAAACCCATCAAACGAAAATCTTAACCGCACGTAGAACACAGCGTAAATACACAACGTTAGGAACACATAATACACAACGTAAGTACACAGCGTCAGCAGAACATCATACACAGCGTAAATACACACCAGCACGCATATACGCAGCGTAAATACACAGCAGCACGCATATACACAGCGTAAATACACACCAGCACGCATATACGCAGCGTAAGTACACAGCAGCACGCATATGCATACACAGCGTAAATACACAACAGCACGCGTATACACAGCGTAAATACACACCAGCACGCATGTGCACAGCGTAAGTACACAACAGCTCGCGTACACACAGCGTAAATATACAACACGCGTATGCACAGCGTAAATACAGAACAGCACGCGTATGCACAGCGTAACTACACACCAGTACGCGTATGCACAGCGTAACTACAAAACAGTACGCATATACACAGCGCGAATACACAACCGCACGCATATACACGGTGTGAATACACAACAGCACGCATATACACAGCGCGAATATACAACATCACGCATATACATAGCGTAAATACACAACATCACGCGTACACACAGCGTAAATACACACCAGCACGCATATACACAGCGCAAATACACAACATCACGCATATACACAGCGTACATACACAACATCACGTACATACAAAACGTAAATACGCAGAGATACTCCAGGCTGCGCGAATGCAGAACGTTTCGCAGCGTATATATTCAACACCAGTCACAAACACAACGTAAATACACGACACCGCTCACATACACAACGTACATACACAACACCGCACGTATACACAGCGTAAATACACAGCACAACGCCGCGATGCGCGAATGCGAAACGTAGATGCAGAACGTTGCGCACGTTCGCAACGGAAAAACACATGATGCAACACAACGCGTACACACAACGTAAACACACAACACTTCGCAACCCCACTGAAACGTTTTGGGCTGTCGGAGCAAAGCGGCGCGAAAGTGAGAGCCGAAACGCGTTGCCCGCCCCTTCACTCTCATCCGCAATTGCGGAGTGCTAGGTACGCAGAACCACGCATGCAGACAACGCAGATACACAGCGTAAATACACAACAGCACTCATATACACAGCGTAAATACACAGCACGCTTACACACAGCGTAAAATAACAGCACTACGCGACACACACGACACCACGCACAGGACGCAAACACACACAGCGTACATACATAACGCAAATACGCAACACCACAGCGTGCGTACACACAGCGTAAACGCACAGCGTGAAACACAGTGTAAATACACAACGCGCATACACGTCGTGCTTTACGTTGTGTTTTTACGTTGTGTATTACGTCGCGCCGCGTTGTGTATTTGCGTTGTGTATTTGCGTTGTGTTTTCCGCGTGGTTTGCGACAACTCTCCCGCCCCTCGGCCGCTCCTGGGCTGCGGGCCGCCAGTCCCTTGCTTCTCTCTTTCGCATGGTGATCACTGACGTGTCGTAGCTGTTGTCGTGTCTTGCTGGCGGCCCGCCCTTCGGCCTTCTGGCTGCGGGCTGCCCTTCATCGCCGTGTCCGTGCTGTCGCTGTCGTGTGTCCTCGGGGGTGCCCTCCGTGCAGCTCGGTGCTCCGTCTCGCTCTGTGCTGCGGGGGGGCTTTGCTTCGGTGCTGGAGTCATTGCTGTCTGGCGGTCCGCCCTTCGGCCACTCATGGGCTGCGGGCCGCCAGTCCTTTGCTTCAGTTCTTCGCGTGATGGTCATCAGCGTGTCGAAGCTGTTGTCATGTCCTGCTGGCGGCCCGCCCTTCGGCCTTCTGGCTGCGGGCCGCCATGCAAAGCCATGTCCGTGTTGTCGCTCTCGTATGTCCTCTCGTGTGCTCATTTGACCGTTGAGTCTCTTGTCGCTTTGCCTTCGGACGTCGTGGTCCAGAGCTCTCCTCCTTCCCATCCGCGCTCGACACAAGATCAACCGCTGGACCCCCATACTCACGTGGCGACATGGTGCCTAGTAGCCGCGATGGCACACTAGGACTTTGCGCTCTAACGCCTTCCAGCATACGTGGCGACGTCGAGCCTAGTAGCCCTGGTGGCACACTAGGGCTTTGCGCTCTAAGACCGTCTGTTTTGCAGTAGGGGGCCGGGGAAATATGCCGATATGTCAACCTGACCGTGCACCATGGTGTCCTCGATCACCGCTTCCACACGCCGACCCACGCCACCGCACGGCGTCTCATAGTCGTTCTTGTGGTAGCTGCAGTCTTGGTGGCCATTGCCGCCACGGGCGTCGCTGGAGGTGTAGTTGCTGTTGTCGCCGCTGGTGATGTCCTCCTCCTGTCCGTGGCTGAGGTACCTGTCGTGACTGGTGTTCATGTCGTTGGCTGGCGCTGCTCTGGCTGCTCCGGAGCCCCATCTTGCGAGGATCGTCTCGCCGAGCTGGGCAGCGGCAGCGAAGTGGAAGTCCTCGGCGGCTGCCTCCTTCCGCTGGGTTTCGCGGATGGGGGTGGCTGAGTTGGCAACAGTCGTGATGGTCCCAAGCTCCTCCTCCCCGTCCTCCTCCTCCTCCTCCTCCTCCTCGTCCCCCTCCTCCTCCTCCTCCTCCTCCTCCTCCTCCTCCTCCTCCTCCTCCTCCTCCTCCTCCTCCTCCTCCTCCCCTCGTCCCCCCTCCCCCTCCTCCTCCTCCTCCTCCTCTCCTCCTCCTCCTCCCCCTCCTCCTCCTCCTCCTCCTCCTCCCCCTCCCCCTCGCCTGCGCGGCACACCGCGCGGGGACCAGGCGCGCTCGCGCGCGACCCCTGGCGCGAGGAGCCTGCGCGGCGAGCGTCCGCGCCGTCGACCCCTCCCTCGACTCGCTCGCCCGGCGCTCTCGAGGGGGGCTCTCGTGGGGCGTCCCGGGCCCTCCTCGGGGGCACAGCCTCCTGCGACCCTCCTTGGGCCTCCTGGACGAGGAGGAGGAGGAGGAGGGGGAGGAGGAGGAGGAGGAGGAGGAGGAGGAGGAGGAGGAGGAGGAGGAGGAGGAGGGGAGTAGAGGAGGAGGAGGAGGGGGAGGGGGAGGAGGAGGAGGGAGGAGGAGAGGAGAGGAGGAGGAGGAGGAGGAGGAGGAGGAGGAGGAGGAGGAGGAGGAGGTCCTGGGGCCTCCTGGACCCCCCCTCCTCCTTCCCTCCCGACGACGACGACGACGAAGACGACGACGACGAAGACGATGGCCTGCGCTTGATGGTGTGGCGGCTCCCGGGAGGCGTCCCGAAGGTAGCATCCTCGGCGCGCGGAGCGCGATAGGGGGCACCTTCGCTCCGGCGGCCGCGTGCACGGCGGTGAGGGCTTCTCTCGCGTGGCGGAGCTGGCCGAGTGGAGCTCCTTGGCTATCTTTGCTGTGGCGCCGGCTGGTGCCCATGGCGTTTCCTTCGAGCGGCGGCTGCTGGCGCGGCTGGCGGCGTCGTCGGCGTGGTCGTCGTGGTCCCAGGTCCTTCTCGGCACCTCGGCATCCATCGCGGCGATCTCGCCTTTCAGGATCCTGTCGCGGATGAGCTGCAAGACGTGAGCTGATGTCGGTGCTTCGCCGCCGTTGCTGGTGTCGATCGCACGGTAGTCCAGGCCGCTCGCGCTGGTTACCGTGCTGGGGGCCGTGGTCTGTTGGAGGTCGCCTGGCTGCCGGGGGCGGTCGGTGATGAAGACCACTTCCTGTCGGTCGGCTGGCTCGGGTGGCTTGGGTTCGGTGGGTTGGCACCTCGTGGACTGGTTGGCGGCGTCGACCTTCGGAAATATGGGCGACGTCTCCAGGAGTGGGAGCGGCGTGATGTCGATCTTGTAGGCTGGTATCTCGCTGAAGGTCGCGTCTCGGCCGCACTTCTTGTCTGCCGCCGTGGTCGTCGCTATGGCGTCGAGGTTGTCTGCCATTTGCTGTTCGGTGAGCGGCTCCATCGTCATGGTGTG